ATATGTATGTACATACTAACAAGACATTAATAAACTATCTTAAATAATTTTTATTACGCATTTTATCAAAATTAGTAAGTACAACGATCAGTCTTCGGGTGGTTTTTTTAGATTAAAAACTACATATACATATATACACACACACACACAACACACATAAGAGAAAAAATAGTATTCGACCAGTTTCTCTGTCTAAACTTTCATCGCGGTAAATTAAAAAAAAATTTTTTCTTGTGATATTCTCAACATAAATCATTTATTAAATATTGGTTAATGTTCTAAATTCATTCAGGTTTCATTCAGGTTTAAATAATTCGACCTTTTCAAGAAAAGTTTGTAATATCAGAGAAAAATTTCTAACAAAGAAAATTAAATAATTTTGTAACAATACAATAAATGACTGACTTAAGTAAGAATACAATAAATGACTTACCTTGTGCCCACGATTCTTTCTCCCAATTATGATTGTAATTGAAAATTCGCAATTTTTGCGGTTTCTCAGCCTTATTATCCTCTTGATTTTTTCATTATGTGAACATGAAATAAATAACCGATCGCTACTCGAAAATAAGCAAATGCTTCCACGACAACATTTGCCAGTAATGCCAGTAACGGCAGTGATTTTTTCACTGATAGCATAGCTCTTTTATCTTGTCTGAACTACTCTGAACAAAATACAATCGAGCATTCGTTTCAAATACCAGAGAGAAGCCTGTTGGCTCCTGCCCACTGGACGCGGTAACGTCCTAGTGCTGGTTTCCCTAGCCAATCAACGTCTCGTGCGCTCAGTTGTGGATTAGCTAGTACTGATTTCGCCAAGTTCCGCCGCGCGGCAACGTCACCGCGTCCTGTGGGCAGGAGCCATCACGGTCCCGTTTTTCGTGATTGGCGAAAGCGATACGCCCTCTGTGGACATTGAAAAACGTGGACATGAACTACGTAGCCAATATCCACACTTTGCCAAGAGGGTAACGCAGATTTGCACAATTTTAATCACGTCCCGCGCTATGGTTAGATCCCATGCTATGATTTTGTACTTAAAATAATCTTAAGTACAAGAGCATCGCACAGGATCTGACTATAGCACAAAACGCAAAATTTCGCAAATCTGTTGTTCTATTTTAACAAACTTGTTGTATAATTAATTGACGAACAATACGTGCGAGTTTTAATAATATTTTTAATTTATATTGTAATCTGGCGGTTTGTCTGTTAAGTTCTAAAAAGTTTTTAAATGTTTGGTTACAGACAAGACTTATTGCTATCACAATGGTCTTAATTTGGATCCGTCAATGTTTGTCTCGTAATTAAACCTGAAGAGGACTGCGATTTGCAGTCGACACGTCGTTGCGACATTTTAAATATATAGCCAGTTATGTCGAAACTAATTGATTGATTATATTATTGATTTAATTACTGGTGAAGAAAAATACATATTACTGGTGAAGAAAAATAATATTACTGATAAAAAAATTACCATCATCAAAAAAAGTTACTCATTTGCAAGGATCAAGACTAGGGGTGCGTTCCGAGTTGCGCATGAAGCGCACAGACTGCATAGAAAGTCGTTCCGATTTAACTAATGCGCGCATTGATAGCGCTTTGGTAGCGCTGAAAATTCACTAGATTATACTAACCGTACTGAATTCTTAGCACTCCTCCCAGCGCATTGACTGCTTCTATTTTGACTTGAGGCAGTTGATGCGTCTGATGCGTTCATGCAGTTTATGCGCTTTATGCTTAACTGGAACGCATTGGAACGCATCAGAAGAACGACGGAAAAACTTTCATGACGATGGAATTACATGAATTCCCAGTGTTAATAGACGAAACTAACGTGGTAACGTTACTCTTAACAAAAGATGATATGGAGAGAGCAACCCAAGGTAATATTAATGTATTCTTATAACTTAATTTATTTAATGTATAGGTTAGATATTAGTTGTGTAAGTTTATATTTGTATAATATATTGGTTTATTGGTATATAATACCACTAAAACTATGCCAGTAATAAGCATATGGAACATTGGGTGTAGTAGTCTTAATGCTACATTTGGAGAAAGAAGTATTTTGAGTTTAAATCTAGTTGGACCCGTTAATTTTTCTGCCTCGCTTATACATTAATAACCATTGTGTTATTTTTTATAGACTCAGCATTTTTGCAGAACCTTGTTAGAAAGGAACAAGACGTACATAACACTAATAATATTGAACCGACAGATGAAGTAGAAGATTTAACTTGTGAAAATGCCGTTGATAAAAATAAGTCTGGTAAGATGCCTACTTTATTTTTGTGTAACCAATGCCTATAAGCAATCTCGTTAATTTTGTACAAAAGTATGTTTACAAGTTTAAGAATAACATAAATAAATATTAATATAAATACTAATATAAATACTTATATTTCTTAATCTTTAAAATCTGTATTTACTTTATAACCTAATTTTTAGATAAGTCTAAAACATTTGTATGGCCGGACAAAGCGGTACTTTTATTAATTGAATTGTATAGAGAAAGAGAGGAAGAGTTTTCAAATGGTTTTAAGCGCAGCAACAAAATTTGGGCTGAAATTGCTGCTGAGATGAACAAAGTCGACCCATTGTATGAAGTAACAGCACAACAATGCACATCAAAAATGTCTGGCTTGAAGCGGTCTTATAAAAATATTGTTGACATGAATAAGAAGAGCGGCAACAATAGAAATTCATGGGCATTTTTTTCAGTATGTATTATATGTGTGTACACATGGGCGCGCGCACGCACACACACACAGACACAGTTTATTTATTGTATATTCATAAGTGTGTAACAAGATTCATTTTTATATTATTTAATATAGTATCATCACTTATCATACACTAGGTTATGGATTCATTATTTGGCGACAAAGCGTCCATTAGGCCTCTTGCAATTGCCACAAGTGATGGCCCATCGGACCCAAATCAAGAAGACTTGTCACCAGAGATTTCCTCCCCTAAATCAAAAAGTAAGTTTTTGTATATTTGTGGTCAAAATGATTACAATACTTTTTTAATGAGTTTAGGAATGTACATTTAGAATTAGAGTGAGAACTATATTACCTTCACTTATATGTACAGTATATAATTGTAATATTGTATAAAACTTACATGCAATGTTTTGCAACAATATTATAACTATTCATGATAACTGTATGTATACTGTGCATGTGAGTAAAAGTAATAGTAACCGTCGTAACCGTTTTGACCATGTTACCTCGCATGTTGCATCAACAACTCTGAATAATATATAGCCATGATGTTGTGTACATTTGTAGTATAAAATGCTCTCATCATGGCCATAGGGACGATGTGATTCTGGAGCCCTATTCTCGAACTTATGTGGAAAATTTTTATATACGAAAGTGACACTGTGCGGTTACTTATTAATTGTATACTTTTTAGATTTTAAATTACATACCAATCAGTGAATGTGCAGTGACACTTTCGTATGCGATAATTTTTCATATGGGTTCGAGAATAGGACTTCTGATATATAAAAAAATGGTTTCGATTTGTTTACATCAGTATACAGTTTTAATAGCGAATTCGGCTGCTTACACTAGTGCGCACTAAGGTATATTTACAATCAATTCTTATATTTAAAAATCGTCTTAAATATCTCTTAAGATACTTCTTATCTAGTAAAATTATCTGTACAGCATCCGTACGGATTATTTTATTGGCTAAAAAGGTTTTTAATGTATATTTAGGACGATCTTAAATATAAGAAGTGACTGTAAACATGCCTTAGTGCGCACTCAGTGCGTACTAGTGCAAGCAGCTGAATTCGCTATAACAGAAGTGCAAAATGTGTAAACAAGATGAAGAGAATTAATATTAATTTAATTCTTATTTATCATAGTGTCATGATCGTTTTTGTATTATCTATTACAGGTCCGCCAAAAAAGAGGAAACGAATCGAAAATGTTATAGAAGAGTTTGTAAATAATATTGCTGCAGAAAAGGAAACAAGGAGCGAAGAAATAAGAAGACGAGAAGAAAACAGAGAAAAGATACGCGAAGAAAAGAGACTAGACCGTGAAAGAAGACACAACGAGCAAATGAACATACAGAAGTCATTAGTCTCTATTTTGCAACAATTTCTTGATAAAATATAGTTTGTACTCTTCTAGGCTTGTGTAAAAAACGTGTTTTTAAATTTTTATTTCTTAAAGTTAAGCGTTACTATTTAAAGCCTTGAAAGTTGTTTATTTTATATTCTATCTTAAGTAGGAATTTTAAGTTTGGGTTTCCTTGAAGTTTAATGTGTTCTTAAATTTTTATTTCTTAAAGTTAAGCGTTACTAGTTGAAGCCTCGAAAGTTGTTTATTTTATATTCTATCTTAAGTAGTAATTTTAAGTTTGGGTTTCCTTAACGTTTAATGTGATATTATGTTATTTTTTCTAACTTTATGTTGTAATTTTACGTTATAAAAAATGGAAGAATATAAGACTGAATAAAGTATAATAAGAATAAAGTAAAACATTAAACATAAATATCTGTTTATTCACAAATGTTTATTCATCCAAAAATATTTATTCATAATTGACTCATTTCAATTCATTTCATTTGCAATTCATTCATTATTCTCGTTCTTTTAGCATTTCCCATCTCAGTGTTATTGTCGCGAACAAATGCCTGGACTTCTTCATAATGTTGGATGCCAACAGTCATTACATCATTTCGTAATATGCAAATATTATGTAACACGCAACATGCAATGATGAATTCTGGAATTTTTTTAACATCTGTCAGTGGTAGACAATCTAATAATATCCTAAAACGTATTTTTAATTGTCCAATTGCACGTTCAACTGCCATCCTTGTTGATGATAGACAATAATTGAAATTTTTTTGTCGGTTTGTTAAATGACCATTATCTCGAAATGGGACTAATAGGTGCGGATGAATTGCATATGCAGCATCACCGATAATATGGGAGTCATTAGGGAAGTATACATGAGGCATTTCTAGAAAACGTGCTACTGGAGAGTTTCTAAAAACTCGAGCATCGTGAAGTGATCCTACTTCTCCTGCATAGCAGTGTGTAAAGAGGCCCCGTGAATCACATACTACTTGAACATTTAAGGATGGAAAACCTTTCCGGTTTATGTAAGAAGCTGCATCAATTGGAGGAGCCCGGATTTTAATATGAGTGCCATCTATGGCACCAATGACATTTGGAAAGCCACAAGGTTTTTTGAAATGTTTCATGACATCGGCGGCAACAACATCTTTGTGCCATTGTATAAATCGAGGTGCGATGCAATGAAGTGCGTAAGTAACACGTCTCACAGCCCTAAAAGCAGTTGCTTTGCCAACTCCAAATTTTACACAAACAGATCTGTAACAATTTAGAAAAGCAATGACTATGTTTCCATCAAGGGTCAAAATCAGGTTAGAGTCGGGTCAGAATTGGATTGGGTTGAGCACTCTTGTGATAGAAATACCAATACCTCGAGTTTGGTGTTTCCATCGCAAGAGTGCTCACCTCAATCCAACTTTGACTCGACTCTAACCCGATTTTGACCCTCGATGGAAACATAATCAATGATAAGCTTATCACAAAACAATTTAATAACATTTTTTACTGGCCGCAGTGGTGTGCACTATATGACGGCAATGTGTTTTATTTTGATGACAAATTCGGCACTACCTACAAAAGAGTACTTAATGCTGCTCATTGTCAGTGAAAAATGCTATAAATGTTATGGTGGTAATACGAGTATGTGTTTGAGCAGAAAGATTGTCGTAATCCTTTACAATTCTGTTGTAAGACATACATTGGTGTCAAAAGTCAACACACAAAGAATTGTCGTAGACGTCAGAGACGATGCAATAGATGCGACATATGTCTACGACAATTCTTTGTGTATTGACTTCTGATATCAACTTACGTCTTACGGCGGAATTGTAAATGGTTGTGACAATCTTTCTGCTCTAAAGAAAATAGTTGAGTTTACATAACCTATACGAATCAGGAGTAGCCATAAACCATAGAGCAATATACAATTGCTTTTCTGCAGAAATTGGCTTTCTACCAGTTGTGGTATTTGTGGCATTTAGTGCTGGTCCAATCAGTGATAA